CCCGATACTTGGGTACATTCAATCCCCGTGCGAGTGAAGCGCTCGGTGCGCCGAACATAATGTGGCCGCCGCATTGGACACAGAGTTATCACCTAAATGTGTTACTTCAACCATGGGTACAACAAGAAGCGTTGAGCGAAAGAATGCGGGACCACCGCTAGGAGAGAGAACCGGAGCGGTGGGTTTGGGACGGACCCGATACTTGGGTGCATTCAATCCCCGTGCGAGTGAAGCGCTCGGTGCGCCGAACATAATGTGGTCGCCGCGTCGGACAGAGAGTCATCTCCTAAATGTGTTTCTTCCACCGTGGGTACAACAAGAAGCGGTGTGCGAGGGAATCCGGGACCACAGCTGGGAGAAACAACCGGAGCGGTCGATTTGTCAGGAACCCCATACTTGGGCGCCATCTATCACCGTGCGAGTGAAGCGCTCGGTGCGTCGAACATAATGTGGTCGCCGCGTTGGACAAAGAGTCATCATCTAATTGTATTTCTTCCACTGTGACACGAACTCAAAATTGTTACGTCACGCCGCTGTGGTCACGCTTCGGCCGCACTTCCGGTGTGGTGTGTGGGCGAAAGTCGCCTCGCAGGGCCTCCTGGTTTAAACGCTGGACAGTTCTGTAGGCTGGGACAGCACCGAAATGGCTGAAAAAGGTGTGAATTAAGGTGGTGATGCAGGCGAGTTGGTTCATGACTAAATCGAGAAAGCGCAACAAGCACAGAGACGAGTAGAAGGGGACGGGACGAGTGCGCTGACTGACGACTAAAAGGTAATTGGAGAACCACATAAAAACCAGCCACAGCAACCATCAAAAATTGTATAAACAAAACACTTAAGAACAACAAGATAAAGGCCTGAAAGCGTCACGCGGGAATGACAAGTTAAAAGACATGGAAGTAGCACAAAAGCCTACGGTCAGTGAAAACTGAGAAACTCGATTTCCTTTGAGTGCAGATAAACGGACATCTGGCTGACACAGCTATCTGTACCCGCTTTGATTATTTCAAAGGCCTCAAGCAATTCGTGTGCAGTCTTATCATTCCCCTGTCAATGATTTGAAGGTTAGTAAAGTTATGTCGTCTATGATAATCCGCTATGTGTAAAAGTAAGTGCCCCCCTGATGTTGATTTTAACGATAAACCATGTTCACTCCTTCGTTCATTGATACACCTTCCGCTCTGCCCGATATACACTTTTCCACACGACGGTGGGATCTTAAATTACCCCTACTGCACATTCGTCATATTTAATCCGATGATTTATCACACATCTGCGTTTGTTTTGGCTATTTTTGTTGAAGGAATGCTGAACCGAAATTTGGAATTCACAAAAGAAGGTAGCAGGAGTGTTCAGCGGGGTGCCAGAAACCCCAAAACAGCACTTATAAAGAGATATCTCGTACGGATGGTCGTATTTTTGTAAAATAAGGATGCGATTGAGTGAGAATATCGACGTCGCGTTTCCTGCAGAATAGTTGAGAAGGAGGGGAAACGGCCTTGCTTCCTTGCGTCCTCGCGGAGTCAAAGCGAGAAGAGGAGGAAACGAGAATCGGCGATGTCACGGGCCTTTCTGGCCTTGTTCAAGCGCGCTCTTTCACAAAAATACGACCCTCCGTTGGAGATATCGCTTTATGAGTGATGCTTTGGGGCTTGCAGAGTCCCGCCTAGTGCTTCCGCATTGTTTTCTGAAATCGAAATTTCGGTTCAGCATCCCTTTAAGGCGGTGGCACAATTGTCCCAACCTTCGTGGAGCCAAGAACACGGTTGGAACATCGTTCCGTTCGGTTACTTTTTTTAAGTTGTGAGGGACCTTGTGAATGTACGGGATAACTTACGGTCTGGTATTTGACTTATTCTTGTCGGGATTAGACCCACCCTTAAGCTTGTTGAGCAACTTCTCTGCAACACTAAGCAAAACCGAACTGGGGAAGCCCGCGGTCACAAGTCTTTGCATTTGTCGACTGAAGCTGTCATGCTTCACATGACGACACGACTTCTCAAGAGCTGCAGGGGGGCAAGACGACGCGGAGGAGGGGAGGGGAGAGTACGGAGGAGGAGGAGGGGGAAGGGAGCGTAAGGAAGAGGAGTAGGGGAGATTACGGAGGAGGATACGAAGGTGGAGAAGGACACGGAAGAGGGGGAGGGTACAGAAACAAGATATATATATATATATATATTCCTCAAATTTTCTAGCGCGGTATATCGCAAAATCAAAATAAAACAAGAGCTGCGGTCCACTTTCGTATTACAGAGATTTGTAAACATATTTTATTTTTATTTCCCTAAATTTGGTTTCTTCTCGCAATCACCCGTCGCCTTCTCATCTGTCAAACACTACCGACGTCGCTACACACACCACCCTTGGGTGACCCCGGTAGCCTTGTTGACAGTGGCGGAAGATGAGCTCTAAAAGCCGCGTTCACCGCCGCATGGCTCCACAATTCGCAACTTAGCCCCGAGAGCGAACACAAGCGTCGCTGCGGTCGCCGCGCCCTGATTGGGTGAGGTGCACTATGACGTGAGGGGAAGGACTCCGCTTCGCGATCTCGCATCCGGCTCGCTTCCCTGCCACGGTTTCCTGGTTTGGCCGCTGTGTTCCGCAAGCACTTCTGGGAGCGGGACATGGTTTACCCGGTGTTCAAGACGCTGGGTTAGTCCGATATCGACGTGCTTCCGTACATTCCATTAGCCTGCTTGTCTTTTTTACCTTTATAATTGGGTTACAAAACCCGAAAGCCATCGGCGGAGGCAATTCCGCCGATGAACCTTTCTGTCGGTCCACACGGCACAAAGCAATCGTGCGAGGGGTCGGTGAAGCGGCGGCGTAAGTGTTTCAGACGCTGGAGTTCTGTCCCTTGCACTTTCATGATTTAAGAAAATATTACACCCCGCTATTCAGACATCTCACATGCCATTTATATCAAAGGCCTTTGGGAGGTCGGCAAATTAGCTTGCGACCCGGACTCTGCGCGTGCCACTCTGCATGCGCTGGTTCGCAGATGCTTTAAAGGCCCTGGGTCTGAAGGCCTTTGGAGTTCTCATGGAAAGGGTTGTTTTACATAAATGTAGCTTCTTCGTGAATTAATTATATAGTTCGTACACGTATACAGACATGTTTTATTTTTTAGACGATGCACAATCACTAAAAATTAGTTTGTATGGTAGCAGGAAAAACGGCCGAATTGCCCCCAGTTGCATGTATGAGATGTATTGAACTGCCAAAAATATGCACAGCAATACTACCGTAATTTGGAATGTTTATACTTTTTCCTGACATTTTTTCTTTATTCCAGCCTTGTGTATTCGGAAAACATGCCGTTTAGTTTGAATTTTCACTTCCAATTAAATTAGACACTGCGGCAGGTCCCCAAAAGCTTCCTCAGCCTCCAAACTCCCTACGGCTGGACTCTTTGACAACAGAGGAAAACAGGAGGAACAGCAAGCATTCGAACGGCTGTTCAGTGGTAGATGCTGCACTAGTAACAAAAAATGTGGAACCTGTGAAGGGTGACAGTTTGCGTGAGAAAAGTTTCTGGCATTTTAGCTTCAGGACAATTTGATTTGAATAAAATCTAAATTTTAGAGCATAAGGGACTAACAACGGGCTAGACACCTTCGCTTATGCTTGTTGTACATTACTTGAGGGATGATATAAACGAGTCCACAGACACCACCAGTGGAGTTCATTGAAATAATATCCGAATCTAGGAAAGGTCAAATGCGAGCAATGTATATAAATAAATGTGCCTTCTTTCTTTACTTTGCCCCTGTACTTGGGCTGTCTCACTTGTGATTTTCTCTTTATAACCCAGACTATATTTAACATGTTGTTCGAGCAGCATGCAGCTTTTTTGCTTCTGCGTTTTTGTTTAAAAGCAGAGAAAAAAAAGGAAATAGTATACATAATCTGCCAATTGATTCACACCATCAGAAGCATTGATTGTGTGAGATGTTAATATATAGTGATCCTCCTGCAATTACGGCCATATTTCTATGCGTTGCCTGCCCTGTCAACCATGCCTGAAATGTTGGTTGAACTTTCGCCTGCAACTATAGGCCGTGCCTCGATAAAGACCCATATGAAAATTTACACCTCCTTCGAAAAACGCGCTAAAAAACAAGAAGAAAAAAAAAAGAAACGAGCGCGCCGACCGTTAGCGTCGTCACAGCCTCCACAGGACGACCGGGGCGAGACGGAGGAAAGTTCTGTCCTCGCCGTGACGTCACCCCGGGTCGCCGTAAGAGGACGCCACGCTAACTTCTCGGGGCTGATAGGGGGCGCACTGGCGCCTATCAAAATTGCTGTCATCTGAATGATCGTCGTAGAACGCAGTTCGAGGCTGGGTCTGCGTCGCGTACGGTAATTCTTGTTTTGCTACATACAAGCAGTATTAGAGCCTTACTTGGTCTTTTCACGTCAGGAAGGCGTAGACAAGGACTTTTATTGTGCAGCTGATCATCCAGGACCTAGGGAGCGCGATTCTCACATCGCAGTACCACCATTGCTGAAAGTTGCGAATATCATAAAGTTCAATCTTCGCCTCGATTCCGAAGTGAAGATTTTGTCCTCAAATAACTCCTTCCCAAAGTTGTGGAACGTCACTTCGTCGTCACCGGTAACTTCCACCAGTGACAATCTTGCGACGAGAAAGTTCCGAGCATTCACAGCCCGCCTAGGTTACAATCTAGACCGCATTGAGTCTAAAGCGCCGTTCACACACTTGCAGCCGAGTAGGCCGGAAAGTAAAGGCCGGTTCACACATGCAGCAGAGCACTCAGTTAGCTCTTCATGAGCGCTGGAAGCAGCGCTCAAGTGGCACCGACTTGCGCGTGACGTAGCGCTCGGTCAGTGCTTCGGAAGCGCTCCAGATTGATTGATTGAAAACACGTTTATTGACCTTCTATTGCGTGGAGCGCGCTGCGGAGGTCAGTTAGGAGGAGGATACGAGATTAGGGAGCGGGTACCAAAGAAGAGAAGAGGAGGAGGAGGGCAACACTTCATGGCTTCAGGGCCTTCGTCGTCGGGGGAGGGGGAGGCTGTGTCCTCTTGACTCTATCCGGAAGGAGCCGGTCCACCACTGGAGGCACAGTTCGGTCTCTTATGAAGGTGGGTAGTGCCTCCCAGAGCTCCAAAGCATGCTTGTGGGATATGGTGGTGTCTGGGCATGCCCAGGCGTTCAGGGGTACGGGTACTGGGGCGTTTGTAATGAGATCCAAAGCCCGTTGTCGTGGAATATCATACAAAGGGCAAGACCGCATGAGATGGACCAGGTCTGCCTTAGAGTTGCAGTTCTTGCAGATGCCAGAGGCTGTGGAAGATGCCGCCCCATCGTTCCCGCGAAACCGCTGTAAGAGATGCGGTGTCAGTAGGGTCCCTGTCTGAATTTGGCGAATCCTTACGGCTTCCCTACGAGAGAAATGTTGGGAGGGAATCTTAGGGATGGATAGCGGGTTAGCGGCCATGGAGAAGTAGGCGGTTCGCTCGGCTTTGGTAGAGCGCAAGTCGTGCCAAGGGTTGGCAATTTCCTGGGAGGGGTTGCCTAGAGATGAGGAAGAGGAGGGTCCCTTGGCCAGCGCGGAGAGGTGTGCGCGCGCTAGTCTGTGGGTTTTCTCATTACCGGGTATGCCACAGTGTGCAGAGACCCATCGTATGATGAATTGATGGCCGGACTCTCTCAGAGATGAGACGGCCACCCTGAGCTCGTATAAGGTACGTCCGGTATATTTGGTGTCCGAGCATATGTGGTGTGCCGCTTGCGAGTTGGTATAAATGATTTGCGTGACTGGTGCGTCTTCCTTTGCCGTAGGAAGTGCGTCTTGCGCATAGTCCGTGATGGCTTGAGGCTCCGCTTGGGTGCCTCAAGCGGAGCCTCAAGGTCTTCCTGAAGGTGCCAGGTGACATTGCGTGGGTGTGATGACCAAGTCAGATCAGGGGTCGCGTCCTGGCGAATACATTGCCCCATCCGTGTGGGGTCATCGGTGGTGTTAATCTAACTGAGGTGGTAGTTTTGGGTATCAGACTTTATTTTGCGCCCCCTGGAACTGCATTTGTTGTAACCCCATGCTGTGTGCCTTGCGTTGAAGTCTCCACATAGGATGATTTGATCGCGAGGATAGAGCCTATGGAAGCGTTGTATAAAACCGAGGTCAATAAGAGGCTTTTGCCCTGTATTGCGGTTGTACTCCGGGCGTGCGTATAAGAAAAAAATTAAAACGGTGTGGTCAATCGTCAATCTGACCCTACACCCTAACGTGGTGGTGGTGCTGGTATTCCAGGGTTTGGTATCCAATTGGACGTGGTCGAGCATTCTTAAGACGTATGGTCTGCCAGGGATCGCTATGAGACGGGCATCCCTCGTAACCCGGAAGTTTGAGCACTGGGCCATTTACTTCTTGAAGTGCGAGAATGAATGGTCATTGTGTGGTGCCGTCACAATGAAATTGTGCTACTAGGTACGCCTTTTTTCTTCGAAGTGTTCGACAATTCCATTGCACGATTGCAGCCTATAGGGTGCGTGCCCGGTGGCGAGTGCGCTATTGGAGCGCTGGGCCATGTTGGCCGTTAATAGCAATTGATGAGATTACCACAGAGGCGGCCGGAGCCGGTTGTGTGATGGACGCCCCGAATACGCTCGTACTGGAGAGCAGGAGTCGTTCATAAGGGTGCGGAAATATGTCTCAATGGCCCGATCTATGGTCTTTTGCAAGCGCTCCATTACGCGTTGTTCAAGTTGAGCAATGAGGCGCTCGAGCTGTGCCTCGATGGTGATTTGTGTGCCGGTTGTTGTAGATGCTGAGATGCGTACAGCTGTTTCTGTCTGCGTCTCGAATTCTCACTGACTTGTACCGCCGTTTCCGTTATGCGCGGGGTTCGCGCTTCCTGAGCAAGTTAATACCTGTGCCACACGGGCAACTCGAATGACATTTACAACGAATGGCATTTGTGTGATCGGCGAATCAGCTCGCAATCTGTCGCGCGTGAAATGTGCTACGCCAGGAGTGTCGCGCGCTGATTGGCCGTCTGCTCAAATGTCAATCGTTGTAACTGGCATTCGAGTTGCCCGTGTGGGACGGGTATTAGATCCTCTCCGTTATGTCGTATTAATAGTCTGGGTTGCAGTGTCGGCGTCGGCCATCCGAACGGCGTCCGTTGCGCGCGGCAGCTGTTGCAGTAGTTTCCTGAGCAGAGGTGCGGGGCCATGTGTGGAAACTTGTTGAGGCTGGAGTGGCGATGAGCCGTAGGCGTCGTGGGTCTCCCGCGCTTCCAGGTACTAGAGGTGCGGTCGTATCGGTGTTGTTGCTTGACGCTTCAGTACATTTGCCCGCGTGTAGAGGCTACCCTTGGTTGTCAACGGTAGTTTCAATGCGTCGCGGGGCCTTGGGACGTCGACGACGTGCTATCTTTTTGTTCAGTTGGGCTTTCTTGAGGCAGCCCTTGTCTGTGGCTAGTTGGGGACCCCCGCAATCACGACACTTAGGCGTGGCGTTCGGGCAAGACGCGTCTCCGTAGTGTTTTTTCAGTCCGCAAATAAAACAGCGGGCGTTGTCGGTGTTGGGACACCGCTCCTTAACGTGGCCCATCCGATGGCGGGTCGCGCAGACAGCTATTTTGGGTTTGTAGGGTAATACCCTCACCGTGAAAAAAGCGGAAGCCGTTGTGGTAGGGCAGGCGTGTGCTCTCGAAGGTAACCAAAGCAGTTCCGTTGTCACCCAGTGGGCGAGCATTAACAAACCTCTGACACGCCCCAAAAAATTTTTTTTTTCATGCTAGGCGTTGAAATGGCATATCAGGACATTACAAAAAAATGTTTTCACTATAAAGTTGCGTAGTTTTTTTATAAAAAAATAGAAATACGAGGCCCAATTCAAAGTTCCCGCCAGTGCACTGTGACGCAACAGTGTGCCGCAAGGTGTCGGGGCGGTCAGAAGGGAGGCATCGACTACGTCACTAAAAGTGGGTTCGCCGGAAGTCACGTGAGTTCCACTCCTCGTGCTCTCCACGACCGTGCCTAAAACTTTTTTTTTTATTTTTTTTTTTATTCTGCTCTTCGTAGGAGCGATCGTAGAAAACGAAGTTTCAGTTCCACTAGCTCTTTATCGCTGCACCGTTGGTTAGTTTGCGTGCTGTAAAAGTTGAGGACGAAGAGTCAGTGGATCGACATGACGGAGATCAATAATTAAAGCGTTGCGAGCACAAGCCAGTGTACGAGTGCATGCCGTCAGTCCGAGGATACAGAGCAATACTGGGTACAAAACAAGCTATCAAGTTTTAAAAAAAAAATTTAGAACGCTTGCAGAAATTAGGATTGCTAGCATACAACAGGCCCGATCGCATTGCTGAAGGTTCAGACACCGAGGTCGTTGAATCATCGGATACTCTCCAGGCTGAAGATGCCAGCCGTCTAAAGAATACGAACTGGTGAGTGTACCAAGTAGAAGTAAACGTCAAGCATAAAGTACGTGTTTTGTCTAGAACATGAGTAGAACTTGTTTACTAGGTGCACATGCAGCCGATGCGTCGTGATGCCTGAATTCAAGCCTCTTGAGTGCCGCTGCTGCAAGGAGATGGGCAGGAAACTTACAGACCTGCAGTTGAGGTCTCACATCGAGGCCTGTGAGTTTTAGTAAACTTCGCCTAGGGTTGTAATCTTCATCACTAAAGTGCATCGAGCATATCCATCCCCTACCCACGGATTCTAATAGCTGTCCTGCGGGAACCGCAGTCAGCCACCATCTCTTGTATATCTCTCGGAAATGCATGCAGAGTGATCTCTTCTTCAGTTGCTGAAATACCGGGACAATCCCTCAGACAGCACCTTCTAGGCATTGTAGTTGATCACGTCAATTCACTGACTCCTCTTCTTCTATTTTTACAGCAACATTAGGCGATGAAAATGAAATAAAAGAAACCTTGTCTGATTGGATCTCTCGTGGAGGTGCGGAGAATAACAAAAATATTTAAAAAAAAAATATTGCACGCGCTCGCGGTAAGCACGAGGAGGGATACAACTCGCGTGACTTCCGGTGATGCCTTTCTTCTGACCGCCCCGACACCTTGCGGTACACTGTTACGTCACAGTGCACTGGCGGGAACTTTGAATTGGGTAACTACCGCGTAACTACGCGTAACTACGCAGCGCAGCATACCATCAATGTCAAACCAACTAGCCCAACTCCAAGCATTATTTGAATTGGGCCTCGTATTTCTATTTTTTATTAAAAAGAAAAACTACGCAGCTCTATAGTAAAACATTTTTTTTTTTTGGTAATATCCTGATATGCCATTCCAACGCCTGGCATGAAAAAAAATATATATTTTTTTTTTTTTTTTTGGCGTGTCCGAGGCCTTTTAAGTATTCTGCATTTGCGGCGATGTAAGCCAGCCATGAGTTGTACTTGGGTAAGGCCTCCCGAGTTTTGTATTATGCCACGTATCTGGCCCTTTCTGGTTGCTTCATAGGCCTGAAAAAGAGCCTCCTTACGACGGATAGGAAGCGATTTGATCTCAAGGAAAGCATCCCTCACCGCTGGATCGTATACATCGAGTGCAAGCTGATTACTATGTGTTAAGAATCGTGTCGTGAAATCGATGGCCCTGGTGCCTTGTACGAGGGCCAAGGAAGTACGTAAATGTGATGAAAGAGCTTCGTCGAGCTTGGTGTAGGGCTCATCCAAGATTCTACATGGTTGACATGGTCTAAGGATTACCGTGAGGCGCGACAGCCGCGGTGCGAGTGGCTGAGTTGGTGTGGGTGGAGTCGCGGCCATCAAGGGGTAGCGTCTTTTGCGGCTGTAGGTTACTGTGCTACGCGCCCGTTTTTGTCCCTCAGGTGCAGTAGAAATGTTGTGTCAGAGCATGACTTATATTCGCGGTGTCGTATCGCCACGCGCTTTGTTTTCCTACATTGATCGCGCGTGCCATGCATATGATTGTAATCGGTGCTGCCACTAAAAAGGGCGCACAGTTTTACTGTTCTGTTGTTGCGCAAGCTGGGACTGATTTGAAAACGACGAGGACGATGTGTGTATGACGATTAACACGCAATGCTTTTGGCATTGTATGTATAGTCTTCTGCTTGGATGTCTGAGTGAGTAAATGGTTGACTCAAACGGAGTTTCTTAATTAGAACAAATGGCGACGAGGATGGGATAAACTCAAGACGCCAACCATGACTTCAACCCTAGGAAAGCTGCCAGAGTTCTGCCCCGACTCCGGCAACATCTATGTCTGCATCGAACGGTTCGAGCTGTTTGTAAACGCAAATGGAATCGAAGCAAGCAAGAAGTTACAAGTCTTCTTAACAGTCTTAGGGGAAAAGGCCTACATAACACTGCGGAATCTGCTACTGCCAAGGACGCCAACCCAAGTAAAGTATGAAAAGGCTGTGGCAGTGCTACAACAGCATTACGCGCCAAAACGTTCGATCGTCACTGAACGCTATCGATTCTATCGACGAAACCAGGAGTCGAGCGAAAGCATCGCACAGTTTATGGTCGAGCTAAAGAGACTCGCTGACGTGCTCGTTTGGGAGTTTCTTGGAAGAAGCTCTCCTTGATCGACTTATTGCTGGCCTCCGGACGGACTCGATTCGATGTCGCCTTCTTGCCCTGCCTGATAACGAGGTCACCTGGGAGCAAGTCTGCAAAATAGCCACTGCCATGGAAGCAGCGCAGAAGGACACGCGAGAAATTCTACCTAACGCCACCACCGCAAGTGTCGTGGACGTTAATTGGCAGCGAGAAGCAACCAAGTCAGCCAAACAGCACACGACGAAGCCAAGAACCTCACGCAGCGAGCGGACAGCCTGGAAAAAGGGACAAGCAAAAAAGCGGGAAACAAAAACTGTTCGTGCGTGTCACGGATGCGGTGGACAGCATGCATCAGTGAGTTGTCCTTTTTTGAAAAGTAACTGTTACCCATGTCGCAAAAATGTGTAAGACAAAGGCCGTACACCAGGTTTAC